CGTGCTGCAGCGTGCTCCTCTGGACTGGGACGAGGGCTTCTGTACCCGCTGGGACTGTGATGTCACGCCGTAGCTTCAGGTCCGTATGCCCGGCGTCCCGCTGTTGCTGAGCCGTGCTGAACAGTTCCAGCTCCACTCCCCATGCTTCCAGCGCCAGGCGTCGCCGCTGCAGGTCCAGCTTCAGGCTGCCAAGACGTGACCAGAAGTCAATGCCAAGGATAGCTGGCACGATCAGTCCACGAACAACAACAAAACGCTGATCGGGAACACTGACATCGCCTATCTTGAGAGTGCGAAACACTTCCCCCAGTATGGGAATTTCTTCACAACTCACCCCTCTCCCACGGACACTGGAGGGACGAAGGGCGAACTTCTCACGGGGGGTTAGTTCCTCGTCTGAAACGAGGGACCAGTCAGCGCCTGTGTCGACCATTGCACGCCCTTGGGTCCCGTCGTCCCACTCCACAGTCACATACGGTGCGGTCTTCATCAACTGGTGTGACAAACTGGCCGTCATCGTTTGCAACTCAACATGGGTGCCCGCGTTACAACTGGAAAAATCATACGTCACTGGCGGGATATCACGTGACCAGCGCTCCACAGTAGGCTTTTCTGGTTCACCGGGGCCCTCCGGGGTACGGATTGACGGGGGGCCCCTCACAGAAAATGCGTACGATCAGTCAACTCGCCTGTGACAACCGGTGCTGCTGCGCCCTGCTGCTGTGCCATACTCACTCTTCGTGGCGACCACGCTGGATTCTCTTGAAGACGGCGCTGGCAGTTGAACCATCCACCTGGGTGAGCAACATCGCAGTAGTAGCACCTGCCGACAGGGCGCCCTCCTCCTCCACCCCCTCCCCGCTGGGAGCCGCCCGCGTGACCTTGACCGGTCACGGGCCGGTGAGCCGACCCCATCGCTGGGGAGGGGCGGGGGCGCGCCGGGGTCACTGACCGGCGACCCGACCAGCGCTGGCCACGTCCAGCTGGGAGGAATGACGTCACTGCGACCGTCTCCTGCTGAGCTGGTGCGGCGAACGCTGCTGCCGGCTGGTGCCGGCTGCCGGTCGCCGAGGCTGCTTGCTTCGCCGTGCGCGCCGTTTCTGCGATTTTTAAAATGTCATCATACTCCTTAGCGTGAGACTCGTCCTTCATCCAGCGCTCGCGGATAATATGCTCGCGAATATCCCTATCCTTCAGCCCGTCCAGGAACCTCCAAACGACCCTTTTCCTTTTTACATCCGCCGGTTCACTTGCGAAGGCGTCCCCTGCCAAGCGCTGCAACCGCGTGAGGAAGTCGGTCAACGTTTCATCCCCTCCCTGGAACGCTTCCTCAAAACGAATGATCCTCACCTCGATGGCTTCGACGGTGACGTACCTCGCTTCCAGCTTGGTGAGGATCTCGGCGTCGTTCGTCACCCACGATGCCGACTGCGCGACCTCCTCACGGATGAACTCAGCAGGTGCCCCGACAAGGCACATCCGAAGCTCCAGACTGCGATACGACGCATCCTGCCAGATAGCGACGCCTCTGGCAACGTTAGCTGCCTTCACCAACAGGAAGTGGTCCTTAAAGTCCCGCCATGCCGCTGGGGTAACCTCCGTCCCAAACGTCTTGCTGAGGGCCACCGCCCTGCCTGCTCCTCCAGCCTCACTAGGCATTTCGGACCGCTGCCACCACTGACACAATCGGTACGACGTCTCGATTCATACTGTATTGGCCGCCAACAGGTCACAGGGTAGTTGCCACGGTCACGTACAGATGGCGCACTGTATCCCACCAGGTGGCGCCCCACCTGGTTACACAATACTATCACAAAACGGCCGGGCAGCTCGAGACGCTAGAAACACCCAAACACAATTAGAAAACCCATAAAAATGATGAATGCGCCGCACATGGAAAATACGGACCTGCGTTTAACTTCACTCGGTTGGCTGTATACACCCACCTTCACAGGACACAAAGGAAAATGCAGTACTGAAGCAACTGATCCAGCGTTTTATTGCCTGAAGTTCTACGGGGATGTTAAGTAAATTAGGCGAAATCCTATGGAGATGGCCGAGCAAATGCTAAAAACGATCTGACTACAGCCAATGAAGTTCCTAAGCCATCCTAAGCAGACTAACGCCGTTTCCCCGCCCTGAAAACCCACCAAAGACTCATCCATATCAATTATCAAGTCTCTTCACACATCAATTCTGGCATCGTCCGCTGAATCCAACAAAGGGCGACGTCGGTGTCGTCCTCGACCCTGCGTACCCCGCGGCCTCCCAGCTCCTCACCACAGATACCATCTTAACGACAAACATAATTTTCTTCCGTCATCTCATTTGCATCGGCTTTGACAACGGTCAGTCATAGCGTGTGCCAACATCAGATGCGGTGCAATTTTGCTAACGACGTGTTGTTGTCGAACACGATTCACGCAAGCAGTTTCCGGCGGTTGTCAAAACGGATTCATTATGCTCTGTTCTTTCTCAATCGCTGGTAGCTGTTTTGCTTTACAGCAATGGGGGATATTAACCTTGAGAATAATGAATGATTTAGTCATGCCGAAACGTTGCCATACTAATTTCGCGCATTTATTTTGCACGTTTATGCCATTTATACATCATTCATAGGCTTCAAATGGCTGAATAAATTTATTACTTATATGCATGCATCATGCCACACATCACAGTAATAATCCTAGATGAAATAGAATAACACCAGTCACTTTGCCAGATCTCTAATTGAGCCTTCAAGTTTCTTGTGAAACAAACTGGATCCCTGCTCTTGATCTCGAATGACGATTTATTTATTTTTTTTGCGGGGAAACACACAAAGAAACAAGTACTGATAACGTTAACTGGCAGAGTAGAATGTGATTTACTTATTTTCATTGCAAGTTTAACCTTTTATCTCATGGTTTTTGCAGGGCATGGTAAAGCAACTGGCACCGTGTGGACGGTATACACTGCTCAGACCTCAAACCTCCTCCTGAAGATAGATCAGAGGGCTCGCTCGTCGCTCAGAGACTCCTGTTGGATCGCGGTCACGACCGGAGGGGCCCTCCCGGACTCGTGATTTATAGGGAGTACCGTGAAATGCGGACTATTTATTATTGCCGGCGGCACGGGACGTGTGACGTGGCGCTATACATTAGGGAGACCGATGATTCTGCATGTATAGGATCCACCAACCGTGGAGGCTTAACCCGCGAGTTGCTGGGGGGGGGCGTTAAACGCCCCCACTTTTTTCGCCGGGCCATAGCATAAAAACGGCGCGCCGCAGGCGCGCCAAATTTTGGGTACCTGTAGGAAATTGATTGAAGTTTATTGTGACAAAGTTTCAAAAAAATCAGTCGGAAAATTTTTGAGATATCGAGGTTTTAGTGACGTCATGATTTCTGAGTTTTCGACCAAAAACGGCATATGTTCAAAAAATCATATAAAATCACAGAATAGACATATAGACATGCCGTAAATGCCATTAGACTGCCAATACCATGAAGAATCAAATGGCTATCTTCGATTATTGATTATCGTTCCGCATTTTCCAAAATCTTGAACTGAATCTTGGCAATTTCTCGTGACTACTTCACGACCATGATACATGAATATCTTAAATTGAACTTTTTTAGCCAAACACGTACACATATGATAAAATGAATGTCACCATCGTGTTCTACGCCCCAAATTACCCATAAAACATGTGTCACAGGCTGCGAATATCAGTTTTTATTTTCGGGGATATGCACCCGCCCGGTTGACCTGACCTTGACCCTGACCTATGCTTGACTGACCCCTGCATGGAGCTGACACTCTTGTAGGCCTTATATGATGGATTGTGCACCGTTTTGACAGAGTTTATGACGAGAGGCGCCCATTGCGAAGTCCTGAAGTCCATGCTACTGAAAGCCCGATTTCAGGTGTTTGACCTGACCTTGACCTGACCTGTGACCTCAAAATTCAACTTAAAAGTACTCATCTGAAGCGTCTCGTCGCGTTCTTTCGTTTGCCGCCTCGTGCGTTTCGCTGCGCCTATTGGTTCTCGAGTTATCGGCTGGGGGCGTTTAACGCCCCCCCCCCAGCAAACGGTGGGTGGCGAAATACCCCAGCAACTGCCGGGTTAAGGGGCGCATCCTGTAATTTTCAATTTCAGCTTGATACACTTACAAGCATCGCATGGAAATGTTTTGTTTTTTAATCAATTATGGCCCTGTATGTCTGGCCCTGTATGAAAATGTGTCCCGGTGTGGTCTCGGTCTCTGTATGGTCTCAATATGGTCCGGGTGTGACCAAGTGTGACCCTCGGTGGCTGCCGGTGCCGGTATGGTATTGTAACTGCCGGTGTCGGCATGGCCCTGTAGATCCTGTATGACTTTGTATCCCGGTGTGGTCCCGGGCTGACCCAGGCTGACCCTCGGTGGCTGCCGGTGCCGGTATGATATGGAGGTCCCGGTATGGTCCCTGTATGACCCTGTATGGTCCCGGGCTGACCCAGGCTGACCCTCGGTGGCTGCCGGTGCCGGTACAGCTCAGTTTAGTCCCTGATGGTCCCTGTATGGTCTCTGTATGGCTCTGTATGACTTTGTATGGCTCTGTATATCAGTACGGTCCCGGGCTGACCTAGGCTGACCCTCGGTGGCTGCCGGTGCCGGTATGACTCGGTATGGTCCGTGTATGGCTGTTTATTTCTGTATGGTCCCGGTGTGGTCCCGGTATGGTCCCGGGCTCACCCAGTGTGACCCTCGGTGGCTGCCGGTGCCGGTATGGTCCTGTATGGTCCCGGTATGGTCCCGGTGTGGTCCCGGTACGGTCCCGGGCTGACCCAGTGTGACCCTCGGTGGCTGCCGGTGCCGGTATGGCTTGGTATGGTCCCGGTATGGTCCCGGTATGGTCCCTGTATGGCCCGGTACGGTCCCGGGCTGACCCAGGCTGACCCTCGGTGGCTGCCGGTGCCGGCCGGCCGCCGGTGACCTCGGTCGGCCTCGCCGCCGGCCGGCGCGCCCCCCGAGTCTATAAAAACGAAAGTGTCGCCGGATTGCCGACCAGTTGCGCGTCGGACGGTCAGAATGGCGTGGATCCAGGTGTGTAGCTCCCGGCGGAGACCGGCTGGGTCTCCTCTCCTGGCGGAGACAGCGGAGAGACAACCACCTCAGCGGCGGAGACACGACAGAGACCGACAGCGCAGCTAAGGACGAGCGACGGCAGACTGGTGGCGGGCCAGGTGGTGGTGGTGGCGGTAGATTGGTGATTTGTGATGACTTTGTATTAGATATACTGGCCTTGAAGAAAACCAAGTATAACATAAAGTAGTAACACAGGGAGCTACAGGCGTTCTTTGGCTCCTGCTTTCCAAAATTATAAATCACCCGAAAACTATTCACTAACTTTTCAAATAGACTAGCAAGTTGGTTTTTATGTCTAGTTACATCACTATTACAAATCGAGCTGCCCTAAATTGGTCATCATTCTAAATATTCGGAGTTTTACCGAGCTTCCAAATATGGTTATAATGAATAATATAATATGTGAAATATTTTCAACATAGGTGGGCATCGTTCCCCAAAATTGTAACTTCGTTACTCGTTCCTCCGTTCTCTCAAAACGTGACTTCCGTTACTCGTTCCTCCGTTCCTCTGCGTATAATGTAACGGAAGTTCTTTTAGTCCGTTACTCCGTTACAGGAAAATAAAAAAAACGTTAAAATGTTGGGTATTTCACACATTTTTGAGACCATTCTGACCACAAACTATAAACCTACCGAGAAAGCGGAATGCCCACCAAATCTACCAAGACAGTGGGCACTGATTGGACACTAAACCTTGGAACGTCTGGTGGTACTGATCGCGCATCACTTGTCCCCGGCCAGATGCCGGTTGCCCTTCACGAACACTAGACGTTCCAGGTTGGCATCTGAGAGCATATAGGCGGCGGTACGGGGGGGGGGGGGGCACCGTCGCACCGTGCCCCTTTGATTTTGGCATTTTAACATTAGCCCTATGTGCGTTGCATGGAAAGAATGGGACAAAAAGTCGGCAGTGCCCCCCCCCCCCTCTCCCTTAATTGAAGATGTTCCGCTGCCACTTTCTGAGAGGGTAGCCCTTTTAACAGGTAGCACATCTTTTCCCATTGAGAACATGCGCTCTACTGAGGCGCTTGAAGGGACGCCCGTGTTGAACTTTGCGAACACATACTGCAAAGTGCAACGCCGGCTCATTGCGGAAGGCCAGTACACTGAGGCCATCTTCCGTCTTCAAGTCAGGGCTGCTCAATAATCCACTATTCCGCTACTGCATGTCTGTGGGTTACCTGAAAGATCAACCCGCTCGGACAACGAAAAGTAACGGAGGAACGAAGGAACGGACTAAACTGTCAACTTGTAACGGAGGAACGAACAACCAATGTAACGGAAGTTACTTGGTCCGTTACCCTTTTTAAAATGTAACGAGTCCGTTCCTCCGTTCCTAAAAATTGTAACGGCGTTCCGGAACGGAGGAACGGAGGAACGGATCGTGCCCACCTATGATTTTCAAGACATTTCTTTCGACTGAATCCAGGTTGCCTTTATTCAAGCTGACATAAGCTGGTACTCATGTTAAATTATGCTCACTTTTTAATGGTTTGAAACGTTTTTTTTAGCATGATTATGATTAAACAAATAATTGATTTAATAACCTTTTGCTCATAACTAGAGTAAGCCAAAAACAATCAAAACAAAACAACCACGTTACAGCAAAATCTACGCAACAAAATAATTTTATTCAGTTTTTTTTTTAGTTCGAAGGTTAACACAATATCATTTGAACTGTCTTTTTTCTTCAATAATTTCGTTTCGATAATGACTCGGAATGATCTATAATGGTGTCGTTCGTATAGATGAAAGAACTACAGATATTAGGTACACCCAAAAATAAACGAGAAACCCTTTTCCTAACTGAAGCAGTGGCTTCTTGAAGCTATTTCACAATTTTTTACGAATCATCTAATCCTTTTTCAAGATCAACGTCCACTTATCACCCATTCAGCTATTATGTCTGACGAGAGGATACTTTGGTCAATGCATGCATGCTTAGGTCAAAGATGGACGAATCGCGTCTATCTATTCATTCATATTCATTCCAAAGAATAATACATATTGCATACTACAGTAACATATCTTCCGTTTGGCAGTTACTGGTTGTAATACGAACCACTGCTGAATGCTAACGTGGCGAATACTATTATGCTTGTACATTGCGGAAATATCAAGCGTGCATTGCCCTTCTATCAGTCCCCAGTCAAATTCCTCCACTCCAGCTAAAGCTCGTCAAAACTGCGGAAGCGTACGACTGCACCCTACGCATCACACCGGTTTGTAGCGTCTTGTCTGAGCAACTGTCGAAGGCCACCGTTTTTCTCTGTTTTCCTCCGCCGGTCCAGAGCATATCTCCGCGCATAGCGTACAACCATCAATCGCTCGGGCGCGTCGAGCCAACCAGAAGCTTTCCGTAATCGTAGGCACGTGCTCACCGGCCGCCGCGCCGACGCCGACACAACCAACACAGCCATCAATTCTGCTTTCGTCACGTGACGAAAAAAGCGTCTCCTGTACGGGCTGTGGCGGCGACTGTGTCCGGTGCCGTGGCGGCGTGGCAGCTGAAGTGCCGTGGATTGAAAACATCTGCTCGTTTTGTTTGTGTTTGTTTACGAGAGTCTCGAACGGTCTCTCTCGACCTTCTCCTCCCCATTCGCAGTAGTCCGAGCGATGCCTCCTAACCGCAATCTCCGGGCTGGTGATTTTAATTGAGTCCCGGGGTCAGACTATCAGTCAACAAAGCTGGGGTGTCCCGGCCAGCCTGTCAAGTGTCGGGTCAGGGGTAAACGCGATCAGAGCTGGCTGTCTTCATGGCATGGTCCGCTTGTCCGTCAAAGGCGCTGTATGCTTATTGCTCGGCTCATTAGACCGATTCCGTGCACTTTGAAATGGTTTGCGCGAAACATTTATAAGTTCTAGGGAATGCAGGTTGTAGTCTGTTCTCTTTAGCGGGTAATTAAGATATGCAAGTAGCATTTTGACTTATCTTATATTCTGACAATGATTTTTATGCATGCTTATGTAATGTTCTCATGTAGGAAAGAACAGCCATTTTTATTTTGAACACCCTCGAAGTATTATTTTGATCACAAGTTTCAACGATATTTCATATAGACGCAGCTGTTTTCCAAATCTCCTGTGCACTTAACTATATATTCCCGTCTCATTTCCAACAGCCCTATCAGTTATTTCACACACATTCTGACACACCTGATAAGTTCAATCATCATCAGTCGTCATTAATCTCCCTATCGACACCGAGTCAATTAGTTACAAAACACCGCGCGCACCATACCTAGCCGGGGGTGGGTCACGCCCTGCCCGGGTACACTTCCCAGCCTGGGAGCCACGCCCGCGTCCAAAGCCGACGGTGACGTCACTGACCGCCAGCAGACGCGACGGCGGCGACGGCTGGCCCCGTTTCTGCACTGACCGCCGCCCTCGCCGCAGTTGCGCCACAGACGCCGCCGCCGCGCCGCTCCTCGCCACGGCCGTCGGGGTGCGCCGTGGTGGTCGCCGGCGCGGCGCGACCGCCGCCGGGCGCCGCGGTGACCGCGAAGCTCTCAGACGGTTTCCAAACCGAGCGCCGCCGGGCGCACGGCGCCGTTAATCGTCCTCACATAAATATTTATCGTCCACTGCGTGGGCTCCATGGAAACCGAGAGTGGGATTTGCCCCGGGCTACAGGGGCGGGACTGGCAAGGTCGCGACGACACTGCGACAATGGGTCACCAGCCGTCCCCCGACGGACGGACGGACGGAATGGTCGATACATGTAAGCCGATTCCGTCGTTGGATCCAATGTCACGCCACGGTTACTCCGAGGTGGACATTTTATGCTCAGTACGTGTGTAACTGCACACCCCTAATCCAGAGGAGCACTCGTAGTCCCCAGAGCCGGCAGTAGCAGGGTGATCAGAGAGCCAGATTAGCGTCAAAGCACTGGCCGCGGGGCGAGGCTGAACCCCCGCGGGGAGCCGGCGCAGCGGTGTTGCCACCGGGCCAATGTCGTTACTCGTCTTCGGCAGTAAAGCGCCTGCCGGCGGAGGTGCTCGCCGGGGCTACTCGCACCTGCACCCCTTCCTCGTTGTGAAACGCTGCTGCAGCGGCTCGTCTTTCCTTTGCGTAAGCGCCGCTGGATGCATTTTATAGGCGACAAGCCGAAATGAATTTCTCGTCATTGCCGTTACAGCGAGTTCTTTCTGTCGCTCTTCTGTAACGGTGTGTCCGAGTTGGCTGGAATAGACCCGTTGTCTCATCGCCAACTGATCATTCCGCTCAATTACCTGTTTAATCTTCCTCCTTTGTGTCGAAAGTCCGTTTGCTTCTTTCATTCTGGCATTGCGTTTTATTTGCATTGAGACGAGTCGCCTCGTTAGGGCGAGGCGAGACTGAGAGACTGGCTCGGCGCTCCTCCGAGATGTTCAGACGTCGTTGGGCAACGTGTGCTCACGAGTTTTGTCGTAAGTCATCGGTGCTCTGTCATCATCGTCGAAGGAGCGGCTTGGCGGGTCCGCGACACCCCTCACGAGGCCGATCGGTCTTCGAGATTGGGAAGGAAACGCTTATCGAGCTGAACAATGTGTGATGAAGGACTCGAAGTAGTCTTTCCAAGGTAACAGCTGGTGTTAAATCGTTCTCTTCTCATCGGTGAATCGGTAATATCGTTTGCTACACCGTTCTCTTGACGTTGATGATGCTAAAAGCACTTGTCATCCCGGCAACTAAAGACCCCATCGTGAGGACCGCTGCACTCCTGCACCCTAAGGGAAACTTTCCCCTGTTCCAATTCTGCGAATATCTCCAAGGCCATCACATAATACCCGGTCACAAATGTCAGACGAGACGAGGCTCACTGTGCTGTCGGATATAACGGCTGCTGTCTGCCTTTCCGTATGACTTACAACATCTGCACCCCGGCGTTACTCCTGCAAGTCATTTGACCGCAGTGGTTTACTGGTGCTACCTTCTTCTCGCACCAGCTAAGGCTGGCACCTCTCCAGGGCCCAT